CATCCTCCCCATTCCCATGAGCTGGTTCCCCATCCTCCCTGTCCCCGTGGGCTAGCCCCCATCCTCCTCATCCCCATGCGCTGGCTCCCTAGCCTCCCTATCCTCCCCTTTCAACAGGAGTTGAAAAGATTGTTCTCCAGAATTGTTTAAAAGGCTATCATTTTATGTATTTTATTGTTGAAGAAGGCAATTATAAAGCAATGAGCGCTATCATGGAGTTCTCACAGCAAAGTACCAAGGAAAATGTTACCATTTGCACACAATGTTTTCTACTTAAAAACATCTCAAGAAATTCAACAAGGAAATGAGGGGAAGTGAATTTCACGTATGATCAGAAAAGAAGTGGCTGGAATAATAGCTGGAGCTGTCCTGAGGAGACAAATGCTGATAGTCACCTCCGATCTGCTTCTCTCCTGTCCTGATGATGAGACAAATGATAGTCACCTCTGATCTGCTTCTACCCTGTGCTTTCTCAGCACACGATAGGCGCAGATGGCTTCATACAGCATGAAGTACATAACTCACTTCTTGCTTGAATCTATTTCCAGTTGTGTTTTCATTTTTGTTGTCTTTGTGTAGTTTCAAATAATAAGTCGGTGTTGACCTTTCGGTACAGTTACATTCATAAAGTTGAACTATTGGGTGTATAGGTTTCAGTGTTAAGCAACTGACCTCTGTAAAGAACATCGCACTACGGTGGCGCTGCTGTTAGTTCTGCAGAGCTACTGATGGCCACACTGAGCAGAGTCACTCTCTCTGAGAGACTAGCTGGGTCATACTAGCTGGATCCTACGTTTGAGGAGCAGCGTCCTCCAACTAGGAGGCTAGTCAGCACTAACAGCCTGAACGGAGGACAGCGGTTCAAGGTGACAGTTGGATGGGAGGGGAACTTGGATAGATGAGTGGATTCACCATGTAGGATAGGCTGCCAGACACTCTTTCTGCAGCCACAAAGATGGAGCCTGCAGAGCTGTCTTCTGCTCAGACTGTACAACGTTTGTTAAACAACGAAAGTCATGGGGTGTTGGCACTGAAGCCAACGGTTGCAAAAGGGAACTAACCCGGGTATCATGACTCTTTCCAGGTAGTAGGTGTAACCTTGAAGAAAAAATGGCACTGTCTTCAAAAAAGTGACCTGACCCTGGCTTTGGTGGGTTTTTCTGCAAGAAATGCAAAGCCCCGCATGTGTTTATGATTCAACCTTTCAGCTGACCACTGCTTTGTTCTAGAGTTCAGCATGAAAGGACTAATTTTTGTTTGGTTTTTATTTCTGTTTTAGTAAAAAGCATGTCTGTTGCTAATTCTAGCTACTATAGTTGCACATGTAAGAATTCTCTCTTTGTAGTTTATAGATTGGTAGCATTTCAAATAAATGACATTTTGAAAAAGTCACCTGAAATTTTTTGAGATGCTTATCAATTCATATCTTCCTTCTCATCGCAAGAAGATTCTGAGTTATTGCTTTTCAATTATACCTTATAATACTAGATTTGTCCCTTTAAATATAGTAGGGATTTGAATATAAGCATGCCACTTTGTTTATTGCTATATTATTAGAATGTCTTAGAGCATGGAAAGACTTCTTTGCAAATGATTTTGCTCTTGAAAAGTTGCAGAAATAAATGTTATAAGACAGATACTTTTCTATAAATGAGCATAGCTTATGAACATATAGTTAAGTTGATAGCATGCAATGTCTCCCTCAAACTTAATATCTGAAAAACATGTTAAATGGCTGAATAGTATCCCAATACATCTTTCCCCAGAATTCAGAATTGTGCTATTATCTATTTTAGGAAAGTCAATTTGCTTCATTAAAGAGGAAGCCTGGAGTTCTTGTCTACCCCAGTTGACTCTACAATGAAACATCAAGTTTCCCTCTATTCTTCCAGAAGTCAGTGAGCCTAAGGATCAAGACCCTGCAATCTTTTCAGAACACATATGCAAACTGTTACTGATACACTGAGAAATAATAGCTCCAGTACCTGCTATTCATCTTGGAAAGGAACACATTGTCATTTAATAATGCAGCCCTTAAGCCAAAACAAACACATCTTAAAATCTATTATCTGTACAAAAAAAATTCCTTTCTTGCCATAAATACTAGCTATGATTGGCTATATTTTAGGAGGCTAGAACCTGAGTGAATGGAGAGGTTTGCTCCCTAAATGGAACCTGCTTTTTAGGTATCTTTGCAACACCTAAAATACTAGTATAGCCCACGCCCTTTTGGGCATCAGGTGAGGCTGTCCAGTGTTAGGGAGTTCTGGAGTTAATTCCCTTTCCAGACGATGCCCCCCACAACACACACTTAACACCTGTCCATGTGTCTCTTTGTGAGGCAGCCATAAGTAGATTGACAGCACAAATATTTTATGTGTTTTTAGTATAAAATGATTTTCTCCAGGGAGGTTCTGGTAAGAAACATGAAAAAAATTAACAGTTTCTGTTTTGAAAGTATTGAGAGCTTATTGGGACAGTGATGTTTTGTTTTGTTCAATGATGGCATATCCATAGCTACTCTCATAAACTTGATGATTTGGTCAACTCAAAGGATAGAAGGATAACACATCTTGATGGTCTACAGTTCTCTTTATATGAGACAAACCAGTTTCAGATACACGAGATCACTGCCCCAATAAGAATAGTTTGCTCGTGTATTTATAAGAATTCATCAACTAAAAGTCATGTGTAAAATAACACTGAAGTTTCTTGGTCTCAAAATCATTGAGTTTAGGGTAAGAAATTCTACTTGACTCAGGTCAGACCATCTCACAGAACACCATGAGTAAAACCCTGGTACATGAAGCCACTGTAGAATACTTAAGAAATGAAGTTTATATACGCCTTATGCCAAATTCACTGAAAAATTAGATTCCAAGAACACCCGGTGAAAGCTCTTGGCAAATCAGATTCTGGCTCTAATCTCTGCCTCAACCCAAACTATCTAGGGACTGTCCAGTCCTAATTAATACATGGACACAACAGGAAAGTTCAGAGCATGCTAAAACTGATACTATAAAAATATGTTCCTCTCATGTTAATTGCCTTCAGATATATTTTACATATAAAAAAATGCTATGTTAAACAGGTCCGCTGTGAAGGGTGAAAAAGTAGCTAACTAAAAGTTCACAATTAATCTTTGAGATTTTGTGTGTTTTCTCCTCAGCCAAAAGCTTCAAGATCCCCTGGCAGCAGTCCACCTCTTCACTCATGTCGGATCGCTCTTTAAACCTTAGCCTCTCTTGCCATAAATAACTTCAAGACGCCTGACACATGCCTTGTTGGTCTCACTGTTGTAGGGGAAAGGCTCTAGGGCTGCAGATAAGGCTGTTGCCATGGTGATGAAGGAGATACCGAGGGAGGAGTCTGCAGAAGAAAAGCCCCTCCTTACTGTGACATCACAGGTGGGCAGACCCGTAGGGTTCCTGTAGGAAGCTGACATATGTTAATGTATCAAAAACTGTGATCATCAGCTAAAAAAAAAAAAGAAAAGAAAAACAGTAACTCAAGCCAATCTTTTTTTAAGCAGTTTCAATGAAACAACTGTAAAAATAATCAATGAAAGCCAAAATTTAAAAAAAAATAGTTTTTGATCATGAATATTAATTTTCATTACTGAACATTAGTTTTAAAAATTAAGACAATATACGTACAAGTATAGCAGTCTGCTTCTTTCAAAGGAGTCTTGTTGACTTTGAGAAATAACAATAATAAGCAAAAAAAATGGAATTCCTGAATAAATCCAGTCATATTATATACATATGTCAGTTTGCCAGTAGATGCTCTAAATTTTAATGTTAAATATATTTCTGTTGTGACTTTGCATACTACACATTTGTCTATACATATTTATGTCAATCACTAAGTTACAGGAATGAGCCGGAAGTCCCCGAGTCTACATGCAGAAAATGGCTCTCTGTTCCTCTCCACGCTTAGCGGCTTTGATGAGGAAAGGCCATCTCTAGTTCGAGTCCTAGTGGGCCATTTTCAGCCTTTGTTGTAACACACATCGGGGAAAAAGTCCACATTTGTCTGTGAAGGCATGCTGAATCTGATCCTGCACATGCCCGGGGACTCCCGAAACATCCTGTAAAAGTCTCCATAAATATCTATAGCACGACTCATCACCACCCCGTGCAATTTCCAGTTTTAAATTCTGAGATAAAAAATATTTTTCTTGCATTTATCATATAATTTAGATTAGGTTGTTATGTTAAACATTTCATTTCTTCCATAACGCATTCGTAAATGCAACTATTCTCCTCCGATTATGCACATGGCTAGAATTAGAAAAATGGCCGTTTACAGCCCCTGTGAAGAACATTACTGTCAAAAGCTAAATTATGGCGGCTTATTTTCAGAATATCAGCAGTTCTGGTCCCCAGCTGCTGCCAACATGTGTGGTTTTATTTTATTCCAAATGCCACGTTGTAAGTAATGAAAATTATATAACGCCAACATTAAATAAAGTTTTAAGTTATTAAAGATTTCTAGGATTGGGAAATTTTCTGTTGTCAGAGTGGGCTCGTTGTTGTTTCCTTCAGTGTTATCAATGTCTGTCCCTTACTGAGCTGACATTATAAAGTATATATTATTTTACAATGATCACCTGCCCATCAGAGTCAGACCTTTGTGAATCCTATATGCAAAATATCCAGCCCCTAATACTTCTGGTGAATGATTGGCAGGTGGGCACTTGGCATTCCAGGCAGGTGAGGAGCCACACACCTGTAATGATGTTGGTTCTTGTGCCACACCGCAGCATCTTGGCATACCACAATTACAACAGGCTCCAATCATCCCCAGCGTCTCCCAAGTCTTGCATTTTGTTGTTACTTCCCAGCAATAGCAATCATTTCCACATGTATGATATTAGCATTACAGTCTAAACTTGAATTTAAATTTTATTGCCCAATGATACGTTTGGTATTTTAGTGTAGAGAAGAAATCATGACAGTCGTCACCCTCTCGCATTCAGAACATTTGTGTGTGCCCTTTTAAATCTGTCTGGTGTTGTGTTGACTGTTTCTGAGAGACTGGTTATGACTGTACTGCATGACGACTGTGTAGCGCTTCCTTTGATGCTTTGTATCCTCATGCCTATTGGCCAGCTTATGAATCAGCAGGCAGAATTCTGATTCATAACGTGTGATGCACTTGTAGTGATAATCCTTTGGAACTCAGCGACAGTTGTGATCGAATAATTTCTCAACCAAATGTAGTTTTATTAGCTAATATGTTTTTACATGACACACGAGTGGCTTTCCCCTGGTATGTACCAGTGTCATGCACAATCCAAAAAGGAGGAGAGTGAGCTGAAAAAGTGAGTACTTCCATGGCAACCACAGCATCCAGTCCGTCTACCATGCCGCATTTCTTAGCTGGTAACCTTTGTAAATGTCCTAGTGTCTTGATACGTTTGTCCCCGTGTCTCTGTAAAGACTCCTGTGGCATAGCACTACATACTGCCGAGAACAAGCATCCATCTTCATCCCTGGTACATCAACGCCAGCCGTCGTGCCGTAGATCCCAGACATATCTGAAGCTGCTTGCCGCCCTCTCGGGATACTCATAAAAGATAAACACAGAAATTGCACTGTGTTGCATCACCTTGTTCAGCAACTGTTTGCTCAGCAGCCCAATATTTCAACAGTTTTAAATTGTGATTACAATGGTTTGTTCTGGAACTGTTAGAAGAATTTAGCTAGCCATTCTCCAGTGATATATCATCAGCAGATGAAACAAAGTCAAAGGATTGAAACAAAGCCAAAGACTGGATTGGAAAACTAGACCCTAGAAAGTCTAATTACTAATTCTAGAGGAACAAGTTCATGCTGTCCTAAATTAATGCTAACTCAGCTTGTAAACTGGCATGCATTGATGAAAAGTTTGAAGGAAAAACACAGATTGCCAATTCTTTGAGGAGAATCTCCTCCAGGCCTGGGCTCTCCGGTGCGAAAGTCACTGATCACGTGGCCACTGAGCACTCTGGCTTCTGGAAATTGAGACATGCTGCAAAAATTGTAAGAAGAAAAAAGGCTTTTGAGGCTTAATCCCAAAATATGCAAACTATCACACTGATCCTTTTTATTGATCACATGTTGAAATACCTTGGTTATGCTGAGTTAAACAAGATGAGTTATTGAAATTGTTTTTACTTGTTAACGACCAATGAAGACTTTTATACAGTGTAAAGGTATGATTGTATATATTAAGTGAAGACTTTTATAGTGTAAAGGTATGATTACATATATTAAGACTTTTATAGTGCAAAAGTATTATTGCATATATTAAGTTGCACTGCTATAAGCTGCAGCCCTATAAACAAATCTAATTTTATGATAGACAGAAAACCCATGTGCCCAAAGATTATGCCATGGAAAACGAGATTTGTTTTTATGAGACAAAATGGCCTTAGTGGGTACATTTCTCTCTGAAGGAGACGTGAGAAAGTTTGATTTTTGACAAATTTGGCCTCCTGGATGTTTAAATCAAGGTATACCTGGCTCCTTTTTCCTGCAGAGCACAGTGTCTTAGAGCTGAGTTTCACATCTCTTCTGCCTAAAGGGTGATTTCCTTCCTACTCCACTCCATACTCTATTCATTCTCCCTTCTTATCCCTCGATGGGAATCTAATTTTCTGTGTATAATAAGAGAGAAAGAGCAATTCCCTTAACTGTGAAAACATTCTCAAGGTGACTAAGCATAACCTCATTTGAGTTCCTATCATCAGCTTAAAATGATTGTCTTAAGTGTATACACCTACCTATTTTAGTAATAACACTGCCCACTTGTGGGATGGCATTGTCAGTTCCTTTCCCCACAAATGGATTAATTTTATACATCTAACTGTCTTGCCTGGAGAAAGACTGACTGATCTTTAGATTCTAAAGTCAAGGGTTTAGAGGATGTGTGGCTGTGACAAAAAGAACTACCATGGAAGATGGGGGTGCAGCTTGGTCAGGGGTGTTATTACACGGACACCTAAGGCCTGGTCAGTGCTGTTAGTACACGGATACCTAAGGGCTGGTCAGGGCTGTTAGTACATGGATATCTAAAGGCTCGTCAGGGCTGTTGGTACACAGACACCCAAGGCCTGGTCAGGGCTGTTGGTACACAGACACCTAAGGCCCAGTCAGGGTTGTTAGTACACGGACACCTAAGACCTGGTCAGGGGTGTCAGTACACGGATACCCAAGGTCTGGTCAGGGCTGTTAGTACCCAGACACCTAAGGCTCTCAGGTATCAGGGTATGTGTGGCCAGCCTCTGAAGAAAGACTGTTTAAAAGCTGCTCCTCAATAGACTGATTCAGCTCCCAGTCTTCGTTAGAGAATCCTCCCCATGTGATTGATCCCTATTTTGATAGACATCGCATGAATCCTAACCTTGCTTGGAATTAATAAGCTATAAGGGAGTTATGTAACAAAATGATAAACGAAAACCTACCCCACAATTGACATACACTTCAAACCAACAATGTCACAAGCAATAAGGGAGGTTTTAAATGCACAGACGCATATTTGTGCTGTGTTCCCATAGACACAAAATGAGCTTAAAAATTCCCAGTGCTTATTACTATAATATTTTATATCAACATTACAAATATGAGATTATCAGTTGTTTCTAGTTGATAGCTGCCCTGGTTTCATTTCTGTTGCTGGGACAAACACGTCCCAGAAGAGAAACCTGGGAGGGAAAGGAGTTCATCTGGTTTCCCAGTCCTGGTTGCAGCGCATTATCGTAGGGGAGTCATGGCAGAACCTAAAACACTGCAACCACAGTCAAGAGTGGGAAGAGCAGATATGTGTTCTCGATTACTTGCTTTTAGCTAGCTTCCTCCTTCCTTGTACTAGTCAGGGGTCCCTACGTAGGGAATGATGTGATCTACAGTAGTCTGGGTTCATCTCAGTTAACAATCAGGACAGTCCCCCACTGGCGTGCCCACACACCAACCTGATCTTTCCAGGGGGTTCTATGTAGTGTCAAGTTCACAGTTAAGACCGGCCAGCATGCTCACTTTATTGTTTCCACTACAGAAGTGATTCCTAAAGTGCTGAACTGCTTAAGCAACAGAGCACAGGAATGACCTGACGGGAAATAAGCAGGAATTAATATCTGTATACTTTTGATTATCTGGAATGTATTTTGCTTTATTGTCAATGTTTAGTATGTTGACACAGATTTTCACTGTGTTTCTTCGAATGAAAAACCTAAGCGATAGATTTACTTGAAAATAAAGTTAAATTTTAGTCGCAAAGTAAGTAATATGATTATACACTCTTATTTAAGCAACAGAATGTATTTAAAAGAAAAATATTTTCTAACCAGGCCATGAATTGGAATAGAAGCAAGGAGGGGTTGGAATGAGGAAGGAGAAGGAGAAATGATGTTATTATATTATAA